ATGACAAACGCTGCCTGCATTGTGCAGGACTACACGACACCCAGTACGCGCGTCCCCGGTGTTGTGCAGGTGTGAACCTAACCTTAAGCTGTCATAATGACATACAGTGGATACCGTTGCTGACCTCCGGACATTACTTGTCTGGCTGCTATATGGGCTTTGACAGCATTACACAAGGGTGCAGATCAGGTGTTCCTAAAGGTATGTGTTAAGTGATTATATTGATTATCTGAATCAATTAAGTCAGTTTATCTTATTGAATGGGACTAGGCCACGCTAATACTGATATTTGCAGTTTACTCTTATTTTTATACGATGAACTATTGCGGTAGGATAGTGGTGTGTATATCCTTGTTACGCATGAAATCATTCAGCATTTAAATGGTTTGCCGTCAGGTTATCAGCTACAGGGTGAAGCAAGGTTCACTGTGGCAGCATCAAGGCTGCTTCCTTGTTCATGCATTTGTACATGGAATCCAATTGGGGTGTCAGTCTGTTCTCATTCAACAATACGGCAGTGTGGACTACATACAACTGTAGCCAACATAAGACAACTATTTAAAAAAACAAAAGTGCTTCATAGGGTTCCCTAATCATAGAAAAAGTTTTGTTTTTGTTGAGGGCAGGTTCACACCATTTTCTGGACCAGATCACAGTGTGAACCTGCCCGCAGTTCCAGTGCATTCCAGAACAGACACAATTAGACAAGAAGTATTTGTCTGGTCTGGAATGGACTGCGTTGGTGTGAATAGAGGCCAGAAATGGCATAGGGATACATTAGGATGCATTTTGGGTCTGGAAACAATCTGGTCTGGTCTTGAGATGATCTGGGTGTGGTGTGAATGGGTCCTAAGGGGGACATCTAGAAATGTTAATTTTGCCAAATCCAGGCAACTCAAACTGGTGTTTTATGGGCCATAGGCAGCTCTCTCTCCCTCCCTCTCTGTGGCCCGTAGTGGTTTAAGGATACAAAAAACAAAATGCGTTGCTCGCTGTTCTCCAGTTGATAAGTTACACTTCCTTACATAATTCTGCAGCTAAATACCTCAGGAAATGTTTTTAGGCCCGTTCCTCTCAGGCTATTGTAAAACAAGGATTTTCTAAAGCTGAGATGATGACAAATAAAGCAGTCAGAATGTATGGATAGACATAGCCCTGTACCTTTTACCTAAATGTAATATTGGGTGCCGGCTTGCAAATCAATACAAAGTAGAACAAAAGTACGATGCAGCCAAGCGTAAAAAAGAAATGAGCTCTGGGAAGGAATTTCTTTAAAGCTCCGTCAGCCTGAAAGGCACGAGGCGGTGCCCTCACATACACTTTCCAGCGGTGGGAAAACACTGCCAGTTGCGGGTAAACGAGCCCACATCACATTGTTTTATCCACTCCCTCGGCAGAATGCAGCATGAATTGTGCATGTTAATGAGGTTTATTCATGAATTGCGTATAGTCGTGTCTCAATGAGACATTCTACTCAAGCTGGCCATTGTTCCTACACAAAGTAGATTCCATAGATACAATGCAGGAGGAAGTGAACACATCATAAATCACCCTACGTAAAAAAAAAAAAAGGGAACTACACACCAAACAAGTTTTCAGAGGTCGAAGCCCTTTTCTTTCTAGGAGGACAGGGAGGGATTTTTGATATACGTATCACATGCACATTTTTATGTCAGGCTTGTTTTTGTTTCGTTTGTCTCAGAAAACTTGTGCAAGAGAACTCCAAACATGGCAAAAGTCACAGGAAAATCATGAACACCATCACAGCCATTCACCGATCAGCCATAACAGTCTGAACACAGAGGTTAAGTGACTAACGTTGATCATCTCATTACAATGGCCCCTGGAAGTGGGTGGGATATATTCAGCAGCAAGTGAACAGTTTGTTCCTGATGTTGATGTGTTTGAAGCAGAAAATAATAGCTTCAGTGACTAAAGCTGGCCATTCACCTATAGATTCTCGATCGGAGAAAGAACCCTCGTTCGATTCCAGCTGAAATAGCCCATCATGCACAGACCTGTCAATTTCTATAATCGTTCGTTATCAATACTAACTCACCAAATTTTTACGAACAAGATTTTCATTTGCGCATGTGCAGTGTTCTTGCATCAATTTTTTTCATACGAAAACACCACTAATCCATCGATTTTCGTTCGATGCGAAAAATGTTTTCCAGCCTGACCGATCGAGGAAATTCGACCGGCATTACAGTAAAAAAAATAAAAATAAATCACTGGTGTCCTATCAACTGTTCGATTTTAGTTCAAAAGACCATTCGTGGAAGATTTCCAAACAGAAATCGAAGAGTGTATGGGGACCTTATGTCGTTCAGTGACTGACAAAGGCCAAATTGTGATGGCTTGACGACTGGGTCAGAGAAACTCCAAATCTGCAGCTCTTGTTGGATGTTCCCGGTCTGCAGTAGTCAGGAACTACTCCAAAAAATGGTCCAAGGAAGGAAAACAGGTGAACTGGCAACAGGGTCATGGGCGGCCAAGGCACGAGGGGAGCGAAGGCTGATCCATGTAGTTTGATCCTAAAGAAGCACTATTGTAAGTCAAATTGCTGAAAAAGTGATTGTTAGTTCCGATAGAAAAGCATCTGAACTCAGTGCATTGCAGTTTATGATGTATAGGGCTGCACAGACCAGTCAGGGCACCCATGCTGCCCCCTGTCCATCGCCAAAAGTACTTACAATGAGCATCAGGATTGGACCACGGAGCAATAGAAGGTGGTGGCCTTTGCTAATGAATCACGTAGTCTTTCACATCATATGGAAGAGATGGCACCAGGATGCACTATGGGAAGAAGACAAGCCAGTGGAAGCAGTGTGATGCTTTATACAATGTTCTGCTGGGAAACCTTGGGTCCGGCCTTTTATGTGGATTCTACTTTGACACAAATTACTTATCTAAACATTGTTGCTGACCAGGTACACTCCTTCATGGAAATTGTCTTCCCGGATTGCAGTGGCCTCTTTCAGTAGGATAATGCTCCTGCCACACTGCAGAATGGTTTGAGGGAAAACAACAAGTTTGAGGTGTTGACTTGGCATCCAAATTCTAGAGATCTCAATCCATGGAGGAGGCATCCACCTCACAACTTTCAGGAACTAAAGGATCTGCTACTGACAGCTTAGTGCCAGATACCACACCATACCTTCCGAGGTCTAGTGGAGTCCATGCCTTGACGGGTCAGGGCTGATATGGTGGCAAAAGGGGAACTTACTCAATATTAGGCAGGTGGTAATAAGGTTCTTGGACATCTAATTCCAAACAACAGGCTTTAATTAGGAGATGGCTCCCCTTAGCAGCTTTAACAACCTCCACTCTTCCAGGAAGGCTTTTCACAAGATTCTGGTTTGCATCTGAGAATTTGTGCCCACTTAGCTAAAAGAGCATTTGTGTGGTCAGGTATTGACGTTGGATGAAAAGATCTGACTCACAATCTGTGTTCCAATTCATCCCAAGTTTGTTCAATCAGGCAGAGTTCAGACCTCTGGGAAGGCCACTTGAGTTCCTCCACATTGCCTATCCTTTTGGGGGTGGGCCGCTACAATAGTCACAGGCTTCCCCCCTGAACCATAGACTTCTCAAATGTCATTCCAAAAGACCAGGAGGCACTCTGCAGCTGGAGGAAGAGGGATTTCCTCTGCATATGGAAAGGCTTCTAGTTTCCACAGATCATTCTAACCCACTTTGTACCTTGCTTATTTCTTTCCAGTCACACTAACTATACACTTACCCCCCACCCCCTGGTCAGAGTGTGGAAGCATTGCAAAAACCCTGTTCTCTGGGTATGGACAACCATTAGACCTTTTCTCCTCACTTCCAGGTTGCAGTACTCTGTCCCAAGTGTCCGAAATAGAGTCACACGGAGGGGGAGCAGGGCATTAACCCTGTGTGCACCGACAGATTTTGCCCTGTTCTCATAGTGACCACCCATGACAACCTGTAAAACCAGCGATGGGAGATGCCAGGTGTACTCAAGTCAGGAATTGAGAATGCCAATTAAGAGCATAATTAAAAGCAAAAGAAAAAATGTGAAAAGAGGCCAACCCGGAAACTAAAGAGGGTCAAGCCATGGTTACATTTTGGATAGAGTGGGGAAGCGATAGTACCCCAGTCAGGTCTCTGCCAACATTGCAGAGCTCTCAGAGACAGTCCCCTTGCCCATGTATTATACAGTCTCTGAAAGAAGTTCCCTGTTCTACCATCATACTCACCTTGCCAGTTAATGTATATTGCTCCTTCCTCTGCAGCCTGTATTAGAATAAGCAGGGAAGCCCCTAGCCAAGCAATTGGCTGTTAGACCCAAGCAATGTCACAAGGTCCAAGCAATGTCACAAGGTCCATCATACCCAGGAGTGCTGGGTAATCAGACTGTGCTCAGATGGCCGACTAGGAGGCAAGAATAGCAAGGGATCACTGGTAAGGAGAATATATGGGAGCCTTTCTAGAGACACTCAATTCGCCAAAGGCAAGGCAACGGTGCCTCTTCAAAAAGATTAATCCCCTCCCTTACAATCCACATGACTATGTGTCTCCAGACTGGAAGGGAGGAGAAAAAAATCAAAACAGCAAGACTGTCAGAAATGTTTTTTTCTTAAGGGAAGAACCTGTCTTTATTGCTGGGTGCCTGCTGCAGATTTCCCCCCAAACTTCCAGTCTGGTAAAACCAGAGTCCGGGATAGCAGTATAAAATCTGACAAGTTCTAATCCCATTCCCACCCAATCAAAAAATGAAAGAGAGCCTTGTAGCCCCATCAGATGCATCCCATCTACACAACCTGCACACTTCCTTCTATTTATAGCGCTCACTACATATCAGAACACACGGCTTGTTTTCATGCGGTTAGAAGAGAATCCTTCACTGCCATCCAGTGGACAATAGAGGTTTATTACAAACTTTATTTCACTTCTCAGATTTACATAGAAAAATACATAGAAAAGATCAATTTAAACATTTACAAAATGTGCAGGGGGGGGGGGGGTTATAAAACAGAGGCAACATGTACGAGGATGCAGGATTAAATCCCTTGTCTACGCTTCATATACAGAGCATGTCGTGCAGAATACTTGCTCACCGAGGTCACCATCACTGGAATGAGGAAACAAAAGCGGGTCATGTATGAGATCTCTGCAATGAACATCAAAAACACTGACAAATATATTCATATACATTCATGATTTATATAGTACCATCACTTCCTGTGGCAGCTGTGCAAGTGATACGAGTACTACAGACAGAGGAATAAAAATGTCCCAATGACACAGAGCTGAACTCGACAGTTCTGGGTTTTATACGAATACAAAATGCGAATTGAATTTGCAGCTTTTTAAATAAAGCTGAACTCCAGACAAAATATAAAAAAAGACAGAAAAGCAGCTCTATTCATTAAATCTCTTATTAGATGTACTTTGTTTTTTAACAACCAGAAAATGTACTTTAATTTGACTTGCTGGCTTTATGGAAAGGAGGAGAGCAGAGTGATGGAGGTCAGTGTGCTTCTTCCCTGTGCAATCAAAGCCTGAATGAGGAACAAGATTTCAACTAAAAACATAGAAAATTGTAGATAGGGCTGTGTGTTAGCTGTGTAAATCTCAGGACTGGATGGACTGAATACAAATTTGGCAGGTAAAACCGCTTCCATATAATACAGGGCTTGAAAAATCCGCTCGTCCGTGAGAGGAAGGTGGAGCCCGACGAGTAGCTTCCCGGCCAGCCGGCAGCTTTACATTCAAGCGATTGAGCGTCTCTGGAGATGCCCGATCGTTTGTATTAGCCGCTGCTGTCACTGCCGTTGCTGGTCCCGAGACCCGCTGTGCCTGATGCAGCCGGGACTGGCACAGCTGCTCTGTGACAAGAGATCACAGGAAGGTGGGTACACGATCTCCCTGTGACCTCTTCAGTCCTCAAATGCAGGAAGTGATGTATACTAAAATCACTTCCGCATCCTGCTGTCACTCTTCAGGTTGAGAAGCTGGTGAAGCCACTCTGCTTCATCAGCTTCTCTGGGGGTCCCTAGGTGACATTAGGGGTCCTGGAGACCCCTGATGTCTCCATAAAGAGGACCCATCATGTAAATAACAATTTTTTTTTTAAAGTCCCTTGCCCCCCCCAACATACACACGCAACCATGCGTCGGTGCGCCTACGTGTCAAAAAGACGATGCGCCTACTGTGCCGCACATGTTACATCACCGCGAACGTTGGGACGAGCAATAATTTTAGGGCCATTAATCACTGATAACACTAAACTGATGAGCAGTAAAAGCGTCGCCTATGGCCAATTTTCGGTGGTCATTTTTTTTGCGATTTTGATGGTGCGCGCAATTTTAAGGCTTGACATGGTGTCTATTTACCCGACGTGACCCAGTCTTTTAAAAATATGGGTAAGAATAAATGTTTTAACATTACGTAGGGAAAGGAGGAGGAGAGAAACTGAGCGCTGGCCGAGCATTGCGGGAGGAGCGCTGTGAGCGGCCGGCGTCTCCTCCCTACACCGCACGATCAGCATCCTGTGACAGTGGAGAGCGGGTACACTCAGCGTTCAGTGAGTGTTTTGTAGCTAGGAGGACATGGTATGGTTACTATATCCTCAATGATGAATGAATGGGATATACATCACCTCCTGTTCATTCATAGTTGTAGTTATAGTAAACATACCATGTCCTCATGTTATGAGTGAACAGACAGAGGATTCCTGTTCATTGATAACGGGATACAAAAAAGAAAGAGGACTTTGTGTCCTAAATCTTTTTCCATTTTAAAAAGGGAAATATCAGGGGTCTGTTTAGACCCCTAATATTTCCCCGAAGCCCCTAGAAGTAAAAAATAAAAGTTTATACAAAAAAAAAACATTTAACAAATTTGAAACAATTAAAATAAAAAACATTTTCGGTTTCGGCCTGACAATTTTTTTTAAATTTCGGTTTCATTTCAGTTTTAACATTTCCATTTGGGTGCACCTCTACTTTAAACCTTCTGGATCAGCATTACAGCCGGACAGCTAGCATTTTCAGGAGGAGGTCAGTAAGACTTTGCATTTCGGCCAGCACAGATTTTAATACACAATGTAAAAGGTGAAGGGACAGACAGATACTTACACAGGAACTGTGCAGAAGGAGCAAATTACTGCAGAACAGCAACTGCAAGATTTACTGCAATTTCTGCAGATGTTTTGGTCACACAGTTTGCAGGCTTCTTTGTCACCAACTGATCGCACACAGGTCGAGCACGCCTTTGAGGCTCCAGCGGGCACTGCTGCTTGAAGAGAAAGAGATCTCTGCAGTGCTTATACAATCTCAGGTGATCAAATTGCAGCAGATACAAGAATGCAACATCTACATATACAACTGAATAATACCCTTCGCCCCAACAAAAAATATTTCAGTACTAATCCAAAAGTTAACTGATCACCCATAAAATGAGTCAGGACTGCAGAGTTGTACGTTAGCTGTACTCGCCACTGCACTGCAGGCAACCATCACACCCCTGGGACAACCAGCCAAGGTTCACTCACTTGCCCACAACATCCTCAGTGGTCTGCTCTACCGAATGAATGCTCCACTCTTGCATAGTCACATTACATTAATGCCAGTCAGATTTTTCTGACATATACAGTCTTAAAAACCAGCACCGTTCCCCATTTTGTGCTGGAGGGGACACGGCTTAGTTTCCTGATGGTTTCTCCTTGCCATCCCCCACTTTTCCCCTCTGATGCAACATCCATAGCTCACCAATGAGCCCCAGGGCAGCAGACAATGGCCACATGTGGAGATCAAACCCTGCAATGTAAAGAGGAGCTCAACCCTAATATACAGTGGGGCAAAAAAGTATTTAGTCAGCCACCAATAGTGCAAGTTCTCCCACTTAAAAAGATGAGGCCTGTAATTGGCATCATAGGTAGACCTCAACTATGAGAGAAAATGAGAAAACAAATCCAGACAAAATCACATTGGCTGATTTGGAACGATTTGCAAATTATGGTGGAAAATAAGTATTTGGTCACCTACAAACAAGCAAGAGTTCTGGCTCTCACAGACCTGTACCTTCTTCTTTAAGAGGCTCCTCTGTCCTGCACTCATTACCTGTATCAATGGCACCTGTTTGAACTTATCATTATAAAAGACACCTGTCCACAACCTCAA